GGGGTACATGTAATCAAAGGAAGGTTATTCCGTGTGGAAATAGTCCCGATGCTTCAAAGCTCACACTAAGTCATCGGGCAGAGAGTGAGTCTCTCACTTCCCAAATGAGTAGCGGCTAATCAGCACACGGAGCACACGGAATAACCTAAATCATCTTGACGGGGATATCCCAACACGTCAAAGCACATTCGGGCCATAAGGGCAGAGGACAAATTGTCGTATCCCGAATGGGCGACAACTCATCGGTATCGGGTCGTCAAGGTGTTATCAACAAAGTCAAGGAGCTATAAAGCTCAAAGGGGCTCAACAAAAGGAATGTAGAATTATCCTAAAAGGTAGAGGTAATTGGGTCGAAGTACCACAGACCCGTCATCCACAACTACTAGGACCCTAAGTCCATCCCTAAGTCTACCTGGTCGTGAAGGTAGTCGCCCCAACACGTCCTGAGATCCCCGGTCAACAATCCGTGAATTGCGTCATCCACGAGAACCTCAGTAGCCTTAAGGTAAAAGAAAGGAAATTCTATAATATGACTAAAAACTGGAGCTCCAAGAGATGTGACTTCTAACACCCTAGGCGCACTAGACAATCACCTATATGAAGGTATGGTGTGTTAGTCAGGTTGGAGAAGTATGGGGACTCCTCCTCGGGAAATGCAAATATTAATGCAGTTATCTAAAGCGGTTCTAAATATTGTGGAGACCCTATTAATATATGTAGGAAAGTAAAATTGCAATTTTTAAATCTTGAATATTTTAATCTTAAATTTTAATTATTTTGAATATTTTATTTAGGATTTTAAGTCCTAAAGAATCTATATTTCATCGTGAAATCCCAGATAAATCATAAAAAAAAACAAGAAAAACACATACAAATGTAGACATGCAACATGGTAAGCATGCAACATGATGCAAAAGACAAAACAAGTCAAATCAAAATAATAAACAGGTCGGTACCATTGGGTCGGCAACATATCCTAGAAAAGAAAATGGCGGTCGGACTCTGCATATACATGCCCGGTTTTAATTCTATACATCAATATAAAATGCAGAATTAAGATACGTGGCACGAACATCTGCTCTTGGTCTCCACGTGGTTCCTATGTCAAACACCTTAGAACGCGCCCGTATCTTATTTCTGCTATAGGACTCTCCTAGACTCTAAAAAGTACATGAAAAAAAGAAAAAACTCAATTCTGCATGAAAACAAGTGTCAGCGGGAAAGCTCACGTGCAAATAATGTATCATGAGCTATGCCTTATAAGTGTGGGAGCTAAGTATCACCTGCAAGCAAAATGATCAGAAATCATCACATGCTCCCCCATAGCGGTACTTGTGTGTGTGCATAAATAGACATGACTCCCTGCAGACGAACGCCCTAACACACTATCATACATATGCAACATGCAGTCACACCACAAGCACAATGCAAAAGAAAGATGTCTGGCTAGGGCAACCAATCCAACAGAGATCAATAACTAGACATAAAAAAGACTACCTAGCATCCTAAATCTTAGTCTAACACACCATCTAACGAAAAGTGCATCAGTCTAGTATCTAAGTGTGGGGTAAGTCTGTGTATAGTATGACTTTGACGGGGTTGTCATACCGACCCCATTCTAAAGATCTGAAAGATCTAAAGGGTGTCACGAAGAATGGTGACACGAGTTAGATTTGTTTGATTTTTAGCACAGTCATACTCGTGTCAATCCCGATGACATAACTCGCATTGCTCGTTGGGATCAACCTAGCAAGCAATACTCATTAAAGCATCGCGACCAACATAGGGTCACTCTCCTAACGAATAGGACAAGTCATCGAGGAATGGGCAAAACACAGTCATACAGAAAGCCCACATTGTGACTGCTCGACCGAAGTACAGGACAATCACACGCCCAAAAGAGCGAACACACACCATACAAATGAATGCAAGGATATTACATGCAACATGACACACACAAACGAGATGTATCAGTAAAACAAACTACCTATAAAGAGGAATTACACTTGCACGGGGACCCAGGGTGGCATGCAACAAGCAGACACCAACTATAGGTGAGTTTGCATCGAGTAAAAGAATATCTATAAAGAAGAATCACACCTTATCCGAGAGACACTCACCGAGCACACATGCAAATATGCAAGACATGAAACAGACATATGATAAGTGCACCAAAGTGGTGAAGGCAAGTATACGTGACGGCGGTGACTCAAAAGGAGCAGGCATGCCATAGCGGCAACGACCCAAAAGATGAGTATGCTGATGAGGCAGTGAACCGGAGATAGATATACTGTGACGGCAGCGGCCCGAACAAATGGTATGTTGGAGAGGCAGTGACCCGGAGATGGACATACCGTGACGACAACGACCCGAACAAATGGGTATGCCGAGGAGGCAGTGACCCGACGATGGGCATACCTTGACGACAGCGACCCAAAAAAATGGTATGCCGAAGAGGCAGTGAACGAAAGATCGGTATACCGTGACGGCAGTGACCCGAACAAATGTGTATGTCGAGGAGACAGTGACCTGAAGGTGGGAGTGATGATCATCACTGAGGAGAATCACACTAGTATAAATGCAAAATGCAAACACATATGGAGTACAACATGCAAACAAACAGATATGCAATATGATCATGCACAACATATAATAACATGAAATATGATGCAAGTGATCGATCGACCGGGTCGTGCTGGCAGATCAACTAGGTCGGGGCGGCCAGTCGAACCAAAGTGGTCGGTCGACCGGGCCGGGGTGGCTGGACGAACCAAAATGATCAAGTGATCATGCATATGCCATGCAAAATGATCAACACGCCAAAATGCATCAAATGGTCCATGCACATGCAATGAAACCCAACCGCTCGACGGCACATCGAACTCGTCCTAACGACCTTGCATAGGTACCTAGGGTTTACGCACTTGGACCTGCGGCATCGCCATCTCCAACTTTGGCGTGACAATGTGGAGGGTTTCCTCATCCGATTTCTATAGGGGAAACTCTCCACTGTTCCTAGGGTGGATTAGCTACAAAGCTTTTTTCGCTCTACGAACCTCGGCGATCTTATAGGACAGACTAGCTACAAAGTTTTTCCCATCTTCTAAGATCGAATTCAACTAATTCCTCCCAGGGAGATTAAGAGCGCCAAAACCGTGGGAAATTAAGATTTTAACATTGCGGGATAAAGATTTAATACTCACAACAAAAGAGAGACACTCAGCTCTACGGAGGGTGTTTGACCACGTAGGAAAAATCCTAACATAAAGGCTCGCTCTAGGAAATCGATGATCAATCACATATGTATGTTGACGCGCCGACGTGATCAAACCCATACGCTTAGACACCACTAAAACTTAGGGTCAACTAGGAGTTTAGATGATCTTATCACCGTGACGGTTGCGGAAACATTTTCTTTATGCTGAAGGAGAGCCCTCGGGTCGAGCCGCCGGTGTCCGATCCGTACGCCAGTGTACCTCGCAGAACGTGCACAGGAAAATAGAAAGAGACAATGAGGGAGAAGAAACATAGAGGTGGTGAGGGCAAGAGAGGACATGAATCAGCGAGGTATGCAAAATAAATTTGGTAAATATCGCACTATATGACAATACAACCAAAATGTACCTTCGAGAGGGATCGCTCAACGACGGTGGAAGAGGGGAAGCTTTCCTCGCAAAGGAAAAGATGTTCGTGCCTCTTTGAGCCGTTATTCTGTCGTTGTCCGTTGACGGTAGGATACTCCGGCGACGTTCCGACCACCGAGGAATGGGGATCGACGAGGTGCTTCTGTGGCGGAGCTTGCCAGCGTCACACACAAAAAATGCATGGGAGAGAGAGAGGCGCGTGCGGCTCGAGGAGAGAGGGTAGCAACACAAAATAAATTTAAAAGAGCCAAAGCTAGCTGCAGGCGCGTGGGTTAGATAGGATAGGATAGGATTCATTTTTTTTTAATTTTTTTATTATATATTATTATTATTATTATTATTATTATTATTCGCTCGAACACATCCTTGCAGCAAAATGAACGTCCTCCGTAAGTGAAATCGACAGTCCGGACACACTGATGTGGCCTGTTTGTCATCTGAAATCATCTGGACAACTTTTTCGACGATTGAACACAAAATGATAATACACACTTTTTTTCTCCCCTCGCGAAGCCGTAGCAAAATGAATGTCCACCTAGATTGAAACCGACGTTCCGGACACACTCTGTCCGTTTCATCGTCTGGGGTCATCTGGACAACTTTGCGATCGAGTCAATTTCCTGCGCGACGCAACACATAATATTCGTTGACTCGATCGGAGTCATCCGAAGAACAAGATGCCGACCGGCCTTCACCTAAGCGAGAGCCAAAGCCTAGCAAAAATGACCTTAGCTACGCGCCCCTCAACACGTGCTGAAAGATCTGAAATAGATGTCTCGCGCTACGAGAATCAACACATGCATCAATAGCCCTCGAGCAGACATCCTACACTCTCGATATCGAAAATGGATGCTAACAATATGTACACATAATTAGCGAGAAAGATTTTATAAGTATGTATAAATAACTTTTTTATAATGTATATAATTTTTCAAGAATTGTTTATGCCAATGATTTATGTATTTATTAGCAAGATTTACATATATACATACCACTCCATTCCTATGCATTTACATATCTAACACCTAAACTCAATTTTTACATAAACTCCACCATACCTATGCATGAAAAAGTGTATTTCACCTTGTAAGAGTTAAAATGGTGGCATTTTTTTATGTGATATGAAAGATTTGGGTGGTATAAACATAAATAGTAGAGTTCAGATTTTAGATATGTAAATACATAAGAATTGTGTGGCGTGTATATAAATTTTTTTATATTTTATGCACTGTACATAAATATTACTGAAAACATCTACGTTCATTCCTGTTTCAACCTGGCATTTTACACAATGAGATGAATAGAAAATGCTAATTACATCTCACACCTTTTCATCATGGAAAGAGCTGAACATACCCAGTTAGTATGGCTGCAGCCAAGATGACTAATGGAGGGAGAATCACAAACGCTCCTATGGTGGCAAAGAAAGCAGCATCATTTCGGCGAGCTACTTCATTGAGGTAACTCTGTCGCTTGATATTTCTCCTCTGTGAAATTGTTAAGATATTCATTTTTTTCAGGCTTTCCTTCATTTTTTTCCCCAACTGAAGAGTAAAGTCTTCATCCCTTCCTTGGGTTAACTCAGCAAGTTGTTCTCGTATCGTAGGCCTCATAGATTCCCCGGTCCTCTCGTAACCTATAAGTGTGGCATAATTTTGTAGGAATAGGTTGCAAAAAGATGCATTGTGTGTTTGTCTTCTGAGAGAAAATTGTCAAAATAGTCCATTGAGTCTTTGTAGATGGGTTATTTTAGTCCCAGAGTATATAAAAATGTCAGTTTAGTTCACAGATTCTTTTAATATGGGATGAAATAGTTTCCATGAAGAACTATTTTGAGTCTAGGGACTAATTTGATGGTTTTATGAACTCTGGGATTAAAATAAACTCATGTAAATAATCGGAAGGCTATTTTGGCACTTTGCTCCATTTTTGGAGCACCGTGATGAAAGATTCGTACCACGGCCTGTAGCGGCGGAGGATGTAAGCTGTTCCAGGAGATCAAGCTGACTTCGAGCAGAAGACTCTTTCAAAGTCGAAAGACATAGAATGTAGTGGTAGATTAGGAATGAAAGTGATACAAAAAAAAAAGGTCAAAATCTGGTATACTCTAGTAATTTTATAGAATTATAGACACCATAGATAGTTGGCTTTTAAGGAAAATCAGAATTGAACAATATATCAAAGGTTCAAAGGATAAGCTATATAAATATTAGGAACATTTACATACATTCTACTCATTTCCTATGTATTTAAATATCTAACAATTAAACTCCAATTTTTACATATGCCACCTTACCTATGCATGAAAAGGTATATTTTGACTTACAAGTTAAAATGGTGCTATTTTTGATGAAAGATTTGGGTGATATAAAGGTAAAAAGTAAAATTTAGATGTTAGATATGTAAATATATAATAATTGGGTGGTATTTATGTCAGTGACCTCCATGTGATAGCATCGTTCTTTGTAATGTTCAAGATTGGTAAGTCCATCTGTAGGGTGGACTTAATTTTAGTTTAACTTGAAGACCTTGCAATTGTTGTTTGGAGAGAATCATTTGTATTGTAACCCAAAAGATCATAAGATTCATAAATCTCCCCAAAAAAACCCAACAAGCATAAATATTGAAAGTTTTTTATTGTATTTTTTTAATCATTCTCTAACAAGTATAATTGTCAAAGCTATCATATCTTAATCAATTATTATTATTATTATTATTATTATAATTAAATTGAATTTAAATCATATCTATTTGTGTAAATCATAAATCCTAAAGAAGTTGCAAACAAATGATCAGTATTCGGCAAGATTTAATATATATCATGCCAAATAATATTTTAGCATTTTAGAATCCCAACCTTTGAAATTTGTTTGGGATGGCTGTAATTGTGTGTAAAGCAGTCGTTAAGATGTTTAACATAAATATCCTTTTTTCAGAAGTTGCTGTGGTTATCATATATGATTGTACTTTTGAGAAAATTGCACATCAATTTAGTCGGTTGGTAGATTGTAAAGTTTTGAGTGTTGTGTGTGTAATAAAAATCCCAAAAATTCAAACCTGATGCACTTTGTTCCTCAGCTAAGTTGTCTGATTGAGCTGCTGCTCTGCAGGGAAAGGAGGCCTTTTTATCTGCTGCGTGAGGATTAATGGAGAGCGCAGAAGTCTTTGCTGGTAACCTTTCTGAAACCTGAAACCTTAGAGACGCAGCTGGGAGAGGATTAGGGGCTATTCTGGAGGCCATAATCTCTGTCTTACTGCTCTCTTTCTCTCTCTCTGTCTTACTGTTCTCTGTTTCTCTTACCCTATCTGCCAAGGAAAGAGAAGAACTCAGCACCACATATAGTTCTGCTGTGGCTGACAAGTATCAATAATTTAACGGTATGATGATTCTCAACCTGTCCATCTTTCACCCATGCTAGTTTTTTATTTTTTATTTTGAAAGATTTACGTATATACCATTCAATTCTAATGTATTTACATATCTAACATCTAAACTTAACATGGGCGGGCCTATCTGCATTTTTAAATATATCCCTCCCAAGTAGTTTTATTTGCCCCTCCTATTATTTTTATTTGCCTCGTCGTTCGTCCGATTTGCCCTGACGGCCTCACCGCGACAAGAAAAAGCAAGGACGGTTCTCACCATTAGGAAAAAGAGAAGGAACTGGTTCCGCCCCTGCATGCAAACAACCATTGCCTGGATGCGGCAACACCACTTTGCATTTGCAGTCATCCCGTCCGAGTGATTGTTTGCTTGTGCAGACAGCACGCATAATATTTTATTCACACGTGCGCGCACGCACATCCACACACATGTGGGCGCGCACTCACACAAAATGTCTCGTTGTGCCCTTGCATGCAACGAACAACTGCTAGGACGCGACAACACCATTTTGCATTCGCAGGCAGCCCGTCCGAGTGATTTTCTGCATGTGCCGATAACACGCATATTATTGACACCACTTTGCACCCTCGTGCTCACACACACACATCCACACACTTATATTGATATAATAATAATAATAATAATAATAATAATAATAATAATAATAATAATAATAATAATAATAATAATTATAATTATTATTATTATTGTATGGCGAAACCAAACTCCTTTTTTAGAGGGGCAAATTGCCCTCATAGATATTTCTAGTGACCTCGCTATGGTGATAATAAGTCGGTAACAATCGGTAACAAAGTAGAGAAAATAAAATAGTGTCACGCCTTAGAGGTGGCATTCAGCATGGAAGCAAAAAAATTTACCCGTTCTCATATTCAATTCTAATGTATTGCAACGAAGGATAAAATGGTATTTAAGGCTGTCAAAATTGATAATTTAGGAGGTCAAAATGTCAAATTGCTGTCCAATATAAGTAAAAATTTAATTTGAGGGGGGTGTTAGATGTGCAAATACATACGAATTAGGTGGTATTTATGTGGATGTCCCAACTCTTTTTTCATTGAGCACTTTATTAATGTTATTTTTTGGAAAAAAAAAATTAATTTTCCAACTAAAAATTTTAAATTATTTTTTAACTATTACATAAATTATATATGTTATATTATCCATCTATTGATTTAGAGATTTTCTTAGCTTTATTTAAAATGCATTTGAATTTTATAGTATATATATATATATATATGATTGAGTTTTGAATTTTAAATTTCTATTTTAGATATTTTTTGTTTTTATGATCATTTAAATGTCATAATTAAATTGATTTATTATGAGTAAATTCTATCAAATAACAAGAATTTATTAGATGAATGTGTTTTAAGTGTGAGGTTGATGATTTTTATTGGTTAAATATTAACTCTTTTGAAAATTAACTTAAATATCTAATTAAAAAGTTGAATAAATGTGCGTCAATATTGTTAATTTACTCTTTTTTAAAAACTTTTTGGTCTATACGTAAAGAAATCCCAATTATCTTGGCACCCAAGATTATCTGATTGTAGTAGTCTTCAATCATTTAAGTAACAATAATAGTTATTTCAACATTAATTATTAGGGGTGTTGTAAACGAGCTGAACACAAGTGAGCTTGGCCTCTGTTCGTGTTCAGCTTGCTAAAAAATGTCATTGTTCGTGTTCGGCTTGTTTCTATTTCGAACATAAAAAAGTTGCTCGTGTTTAACTCGTTTGTTTAGCGAGTCAAATATGAGCTATTCGCGAATAATAAGTCATTTTGACAACCCAAATTACAAAGTCGTAGGATTGTTAAGCATACGGTGAGATTTAAATCTTATTATTTATATTAAAATATTTTTTATTCTAATTTTAATTAGTAATATTTTAGTTTAATTTATTGAAATAGGATTTGAAAAATCCACTCATTTAAAAAAAAAAAAAACATTTTCAAGATTTGGAGCGTTCTATTAATTTTATTTTATTTTTTTTATTTCCACAATATTACATTAGTAATCTTTAAGTTTAATAAGGCAAATCTACCACTCAAATATTTAACAACATCGAAAATAATTCAATTACTTTTTTTAAAGCGAAATAAATATTTTCATGATAAGTTTATGACATAATATAATTGAGAAATATTAAGCTATTATTGTGTAAATGTACATAATTGAGGGGCTTGTATGCAAATTTCCCGTAACTTTTAATGATTTAATTAAATAATATGGGTGCAATATATATATATATATATGTATATATATGTATATGTGTATGTATAGATGTGAAGATTCATATGCATACCACTCAATTCTTACATATTTGCATATCTAACAAATATGCTAGTTTTAAATGAGGCATTAATTATAATTCATACATAAAAATATGTATTCCCTTTTATAGAAGTTAAAATAGTAATGCATTTGATGTGAATTAAAATATTTGAGTCATGTAAATATAAAATTGTTTAGGTGTTAATATATATAAACACATAAAAAATTGATGGTATTTATGTAAATAAGCATATACATACATACATACATACATACATACATACATACATACATACATACATACATACATACATACATACATACATACATACATACATACATACATACATACATACATACATACATATTTTCTGCATAGCTACAATGTGACAAGACCCACTTCTTCCATAATAGTGGTTTATAATAGAAAATCTTAGGGGCGTTTACATACACATCTACCAACACCTATTTATTTATATATCTACCACCTAAATTTTACTTTTTACATTTACACCAACTAAATCTTTTTTATTACATATAATTTTCAAAAAGTGAAATACACCTTTTCATGCATAGGTAAATGGCATACATGTAAGTACATAATAATTAAGTAACATCGATGCAAATCTTACAAAATCTTAATGTAGTGATGTGAGTACAAAGAATTAGAGTATAAACTATACATGTTCTTCAATAACACCAAAAATTTAAAAAAAAAAATGTCGAAGAAGAATTGGGTGAATTCAACAGAGCTTGAACTGTGATACAAAGGATTCATAAAGCCTATTCCTGAAAAGAGACAGAATTGGGAACCCTGAAATACAACATTGGGAGAACCAAGAACATAACCATATAAAAATATGATAATATGATCTCCCCCACTCAATAATTTAAATATAATAAATCACATCATTATAGATTTATGGAGTAAAGTGTCAAAATAATCCCCCGACTATTTCATGTGGGGACATTAAAATGTCAAATTAGTCCCCAGACTCTTTTAATATGGGCTAAAATGATGGTTTTTATAAACTCTGAGACTAAAATGACGTACTACAAAGAGTCAGGGACCAACATGACATTTTTCGCTATATTATATACCTACCAGAAGCTTAAGGGGAGCTTTGAGAGATTGAGATTTAGCTTATCTTCTACAGTTTTAGGGGAATCAGTGCTTCCAGATTTCTTGGAACCAACCAGCCATTAGGATATAGAAGTTCATTGGCCTCAAAATGTACATTCCAGACCAGAACTTTGGAACAATTTTCTGCCAAGCCTTCCATTTGGCTTTCATCTTCGACTAATTGCTCCACAAATTTGCTTTCCTGCACCACATTGATCCATTTGTAATCCTATTTTTTTCTTGGGGCATTTACATAAACGGCACACGATTTATATGTATTTACATTTCTCACACCTGAACTTTCATGTGATGTGGAAGATTTGGTTGGTGTAAATGTAAAAAATTGAAATTTAACTGTTAAATATGTCAAAACAAAAGAGTTGGGAGGTATTTATGCAAATGGGCCTATAATTTAATGAAAATATGAGCAAAACTAACCTTGAAACCCTCTCTGATAGAGTCCTGGTATCTGATAAGGTCGATGTTGGGTCGGTGCCATTTTTTTGGATCCCAGAGAATGGTGCTGTTAAAAGCAAATCCAGACATTTCGACGTGGAATCTACGAGATAACTTATTTCGATCAGTCTGCCATCCGATAACTCGACTGCCATTACAAATAGGACCTTCTAGCAAAACCTTTTTCTTGTCCTCAGCAAGCACTGCAACTGGCCAAGTGCCAAAACGCCTACAAATTTGACATATAACAAATACTAACTAAGGTCACAAATGTAATTCACACCAACTATTCTTGCAAAATAAAAATAAAAATAAAACAAAGGAGTCAAAATAGGAGAGGAATTCTTTATATTGCAAATTATTCATTTCATAAGAACATTGGGGGTGATATAAGCTACTAAATGGGAGAAAGCTTGAAAATATGAAAATATTGGGGACCATAATGGATAAAAATTTGAAATATAAAATTGTAGTGGTGACGAAAGTTCGTTATAAAAGCTTATTAGACGGCGATTTTTGTGAGGCGCATGCAAATTGCAAGTAGAGCCAAAATAGATTGTTCAATCGTATCTTAATTGTAAAAAATGGGGCATTTACATACATATCACACAATTCTTATCTGTTTACACATCTAACATGTAAACTCTCATATTTAGATGCATGCCACTTAAATTTTTAACATCACATTTAAGGGAGGGAAAATTACTTTCGGATTTAACTTATCTCGCACCTAAACTTTCATTTTTACACTCATAGCACTTTACCTATGGATGAAAAGATGGATTTGACCATTTAAAGGTCATAATGAGTGTTACTTTTCATATTATATTTGTAATTATAAAAATCTAGGTGTGAGAAAAGTAAATATGAAAGTTTTGGGTGATATGTCTGTAAAAGCCCCTTAGAAATAATATCACCATCTTTTTAAAAGTGAAATACATCTTTTCACATATAGGTTTATGGCAACAAAGTGTTACAAGTATAAATATCAAACTTTGGATGTTGGATATGTAAATATATATATATTGTGTGTTATGCATGTAAATTTCTGTTTACAAAATAAATAGGAATGTAACAACTAATGCAAAGAGGGCAGTAGAAGATAGGTTGCAAGAGTCCAATATGTATATCAGCATGAGTTTTTCTATGAGCATGAGTATGGGTGCGTGTTGTGCGCATGCGCACACGTTCAAACTAAAAAAGAAAGGGGCATTTACATACATATCACACAATTCTTATGTATTTACATATCCAACACCTAAACATTCATATTTACAGGCACAACACTCAAATCTTTAACATCACATCAAAAATATCACCAACATTATCTCTTTAAACGTGAAATACACCTTTTCATATATAGGTTTATGATACCAAGGTGCTATAAGTGTAAATATCAAACTTTGGGTGTTAAATGTGTAAATACATAAGAATTGTGTGGTATGTATTTAAATTTCTCAAAAGGATAACTAGATAATCTTCCCTAAGGGCTTAATTGCACATGATGATTCCAGGCTTATGCCAAAATAGTGTGGTATGGGGAGCAGAAGATTACAATAACGAGGGAAACCTGACGTTGTGCCAAAAATGTAATAAGTTTGAACTTGTTTTGAAGACATTAAAGAAAGATGAAAATATAATTTGAAAAACCTAATAAATGAGAATTTTTAGAAGAATTACTCCTAAAGAACAACAAAATAATAATAATAATAATAATAATAAATAATATATTCAGAATAAAAAATGAAGTTGAGTTGTATTTAAAGGGAAGATATACAAGCTGTACTGACTAATGAGTTTCCAATAGAGATTCAGAGAAGGCGCACTATAGCATGGTTAAAAACAAAAACTTACCATGAGAATGAAATATTTATTTTTAAAAATGTAATATTTTTATAGTATTATTGTATTTGTATGTTTGGCTATGATGAAGTTACCTCTTGAAGGTACTAGTAGAGGAACATTAAGGTACTCGTACTCGTATATAGAAAAATATATTGATATTGATGTGCTTTAATTGACACATTAGACAGTGCTCCTGTGACATGACAGTTGTACAGATATAAAACAATATTGATACGTTATTGATATAGTAAGGTTCTCTGACTAGCATCAAATATTTTTATTGATTTATTATAAGGTTGCGTAACATACATATTGTTTCATTTCTCTAGTATTACTCTGGTTTATGAGTATGAGTATTCACTGACTTGTTTAGTTCATTGTTATTTTAAATTAATATTTTTGGTCAATTAAGTGATTAACGATAAGCGTTAGAAGAGACAATGTTTATAGAAGACACGGACATCCAGTAATGAGGTAATTATAAATACATTACTTTAATTTAATTTGATTAGTGATGCTTTCATTTGTTATATTATAGACGAATATAGAAAATTTAGTTCCCACCGTCCGACCGTCTAATCCCGTCTTAGTTAATTCCAAGCCCCGGAAGCAATGTAATGCTACAATTCATATGCTATAACGGACTTACTAACTCAAATTAGGCATACAAATAAGAACACTAAAACCTGATTGTATGAGCATTAATCACCGGTTAGTAGTGATCAAATGGTGACGGTATAGAATTTTGAAAGAAACATCACTCCCAAATTTTTAAGAAAATCTTTTCCTGCTAGTTATACTTGTAAGTATTAAAAGCCTATATATGCCTTCAAAATAGCACAGACATTTGGACCTAATACAGAGCCATAACATCGAACATAACCTTTCTATGAGAGGAGCAGACCTGAACTTGCAATAGTTAATTCTAAGTTTTGAACAGCCAACATAAGTTCTAGCTTGGAAGGTACGATTCTTTATGCAACTTCAATAGGAAATGAAACAATATAAAAGTGCAAATATGAAATCAAATAACCAAAAAAGAATATGACAACAAAGAGATAACAAAGTGCAATAAAGCTTCTGTAATTTCATGCCAAGGTTGTTCGTCATCGTTAATCTCATCCTCATTTATAATCTAAGCTCCTATTGAATGTTTCTTAAAAAGAAAAATCTATTTTGTGCAAATATTTTGGCGTAATTTTTGCCAACATTACCTTTAATCTTTCTCTTTTGCATTCATAATCCTTTAATATTATTGAATTCACCTTCTATTCTTAGTTTTACATGCTGAAATAACTAAAGGGTCAGTTTGCTTCATATTTTTACTTGGTTTATTATGGAAAAAATGTTGTTGGAAAGGCAAAGAATCTACACTTGTAAAGATGAAAACTACCAGACCACTTTTCAAGAAAGTTTATTATGGAAAAAATGTTGTTGGAAAGGCAAAGCATCTACACTTGTAAAGATGAAAACTACCAGACCACTTTTCAAGAAATTTGTCTTGAAAGAGTATAATTTAAAATATATTTGAAAATTTCTTCAAATAGCATCTTTCCAACAACAGTTTTCCAACCAAAGAAACCACCAAACGGTCCCAAGTCATTTTTTACCACCTTATCTTCAAGAGGGGATACTCCTGCAGTTCCTCCCCTAAAATCATTTCGCAGTCTCACCTACATTACACATATCCATCATAGCATTCTCATTTTTAATACTCTCAACTTGACTATCAATATATTTCACATAACACAATATTCAGATTTGCATAACATCGCCAATCAATTGTTGGCTTGTTGCTTTATAAAATTTATATTGAGGCCTAATAATATTCTCCTATCATGTATAACAATAAAGGCACTTTCTATTTTAATCTTCCAATAATAAATCTATAAGTTATATCATCTATAGCATCATTATTTTGAATATAGCAAAGATACTTGCACCCATTTAACCAAGGTGTTATGAGATCATCAAATGATATTCTCTTATCACTTATTAGTCACTTTCTATTTTAATCTTCCAAAAATAAATCTATAAATTATATTGTCTATAGCATCATTATTTTGAATATAGCAAAGATGCATACGCATTTCACCAAGGTATTATTAGACTATCCAATAATATTAGGTCATAACTATTAATTTCACATCAATCAAAACTGTAAATCATATTATCAATTTTGTTCCACTAATTATAGGCCCCTTAACCCTTTAAAAATTTGCTTTCTAAATTAGAGTTCTCATTATAGAACCAAATCATATATAAATAATGCATACTATGGTATCTCACTTAGAATATACTTCAAATTCATCTTTCTAACCAATGCATAGTGAAACAAACTTAATCTTTAATGTAAACAAAATTGTTATTAGAACTCTTTCATCACTCAACCCTTGGTTAAAAAGTCATTTGAGACACAAGCCTCAAATTGAAGCAGACCAAAAATAACTCGAGGCTTACTCTTTTTTTTTTTATTTGATGCATACACAGTCAAGACATTTGGGGTGGGATATCAATCCTGTAATGTAGAAAAATTATGTTTTATTAAAATATTAATGTATTTCTAATTGTATGATATTATGCCCAAGTTTAACATAAACAATATAATGCCTCCAAAAAATCATAAATTAATTTAAGTGTGATTATTTTGTGTTATTAATTTATTGTAAATTATATTAATTTGTTTTAAATTTTATTAAATCTAATGTTGATTGATATATAGAGTAAGAAGAAAAATATCATGATTGAAGATGATTTGCAAGATGCCAATGAGACAAAAGCAAAAGATGATAAAATCATTGAATATGATAATTCTTCTGAAGATTATATAAAAGTGAGAATGAGATCGTTGTAAATCTTGATCCTCGAATGCTTGCCTTAAATCTCATTTCTAATTTTTATTTTATATCAATATTTAAAATTATGAATTGTGATTTATGTTTTTCATGATAATAAATGAAAACAATATATCAATATTTATGAATTATTTTTACTATTATAATTTTTTTCCTATGTTGAGGCTTGTGCCTCAATTCCCAATTTCGCCTTTTTAAGCCTAGCACTTTCCATGCTACTTAATATCTATAATTACTTCAATATATCCAATTCACAGTTTTCTCCTCAACTGCACAACTGTTTCTCGTGATGCTCAATAATATATTTGTTTCGACATCAATAAAACACGTGCATGCATATCCCATCATTTTTTTTCTTTTTTCTTTTTCATTAATTATCCTGCATATTCTTTCTTTTTTAAATTTTTTTAATTGATTGTCTTAACAAGAAAGTCATCTCTACAGGGGATCTTTTTAAAGTAAACCTGAATTAATTCTTCAATACATAATAGTCCATTATAATCCATTATAGTCCCTATAACTTTCATTGTAAACAAATATATTATTGTAAACATGATATATTCAATAGTCCCTGAGCCAATAATAATCCATTATAGTCCCTATAACTTTCATTGTAAACATCATATATTCAAGTCCTCTATAATTATCATAAACCTAAAAATCATTATGGCATATGTATAATGAAATCTATCAGATAATCATCCTTAGAGGGCTTAAACTTCGCTTGATAATATGCTTTTACACTTCTTCGCTGTTAAAAACATATTTATCCATAGTGTGTACTTAGGAAGACGCATACTTCTTTTTTACTAGTTACACTTTATAGAACAAATTTCTTGAAATCCAGGCCACACATTTTGAAGCTAAAATATTGTGCCCAGCACCTGGTGCTGTAACAGCAATAAAAAAAGGAAGATTTGCATACATGCCACTCAATTCTTATGTATTTACATATCTAACACCAAAACTTAAATTTTTGCATACCTGCCATTCAATTCCTATGCATGACAAGCTGTAATTTACTTTTAAAAGTTAAAATGGTGGTACTATTTATGTGATAAAAAGGATTTGAGTGGTATAAATGTAAAAACTAAAATATAGGTGTTAAATATGTAAATACATAGGCATTAGGTGGTATACATGTAACTGACACTAAAAAAACAGAGATGTTGTTGGTACCAATAACACACCTAGGCATTAACACAATAATAATAATAAAAAAAAACAATAACATGGAGAATTTACAATGACGATGCATGAAGAATTAGAACAATATTAAAATAAACAAAATCACTTAAGGAGAAAAAAAAAATAAATCACATACCTGTACTAGCCGCCACCTAATAAATAAATGCCCTCTCAATG